GCGGCATGCATACGGAAACCATTGATCAAAAAGGAACCCTGAACGCTAACCAAGAAGCCCTAAACTGCCCTAAGCCTTAAACCCTAAACCTGAAACCCTAGGGCTTTGGGTTTAGGAATTTAGGGCCTCAGACCCTAAACCGTACACCCTAGGGCTTTGGGTTTAGGGTTTAGGGTTTAGGGCCTTAGACCCTAAACCTTACACCCTAAACCTTTCACCCTAAAGCTTTGGGTTTAGGGTTTAGGGCCTTAGACCCTAAACCTGAAAAAAACAACAAAAGAAAAGGGATCCCCCTCCTGACGCTGATCCTCCGGGCTCAGCTCTCGCAAGGCAGTGGCAAAGCGAGGGGCAACGTAGGACCAGGGGCCCATGTTCACCGGTTCCTCCTCGAAGGGCTTGGGGGTTTAGGGTTTAGGGTTAAGAGTTTAGGGTTTAGGGGTAGTTTAAGGAACCCCCCCAAAATAGTATAGGTAAGTATTTCGGCCTCTATATGAGATTTGGGGTTTGGGGTGTAGGGTGTTAATGTTATAACATTGGCTTGGGGTTAGGGTTCAGGGCTTTGGGTTTAGGGTTTAGGATTTGGGCTCTGGGGTTTAGGGTTTAGGGTTTAGGCTCTGGGGTTTAGGGTTTAGGATTTAGGATTTAGGCTTTGAGGGTTTGGGTTTGGGGTCTGGGGCTTTGGGTCTCGGGTCTAGGGCTTCGGGTTTCGCGTTTAGGGTTCATAGTTTAGGGTGATTAGGGCTTAGGGTCCAGGGTTTGGGAAGGGGTTCAGGGTTTGAAGGTTCAGAAGAACAAGCTCTACTGGCAACTTAGACACAATAAGCAACGGATTTTGTATGTTGACAGGCCTTTACGATGAGACTGCGATTCTGGTGCCCATTACTTTTCATTCGCACTACTATTGTTAATGCTTTTATAGCATCATGCGTATTATTGTGTTTTTTGTTACCATACTAATGTGTTTGATTATTACTGTTAGTATCATTAACTTGTCATTAACAGTATCAGTGTTATTAGTATCGGTGTGTTCTTGTTTTGCTATGCTTGTTCAATGAACTATATAACTCTAAACCTTAAACCGTTATACTCTGAGCATCTTCGGCAACAGTACCGACTAAGCTGAAGTCCTGGACCCAAACGATCTCGGCGTTCGGATGCTGTGCAGCCACAACCTTATAGCTGAGAGAGGAAAAAGATGTATGAAAGTCATAAGTCATAAGGGTAATATAGGGGCCTTAACAACTAGAATAGGGTTTTGGGGTCTATTGTACTATACCCATAACAAGGAACCCCCCCCCAAAAAAAAAAAGAAACAAAGGCCTCCAAGGTATGCAAGTAAAAAGGCTACATCTCAGAGACAAGGGTACGGGCCCGACAGATTTAGTTAGCAGGTAGCTATTAATAAGGCTGTTTGTAGCCCAGGCCTTCATGACTTAGAGTTTAGGGTCTCGCGTCTAGGTGTTCAGGGGGTTCAGGGTCCCTGATTCAAGGGCCAAGGAGTTAGGAGTCGGAAAAAGTAGTAATCTAAACCCTAAACCTCTAAACCCCTAAACCCTAAGCCCCTAAATCCTAAACCGCTAGACCCTCCAAACCCTCCTTAACCTTCCCAGAAATCCAAACACCAAGACCCTTGCGCTCCTGGGCCTGAGATATTCCAGGCTGTGAGGTTTAGGATCTACCTGTGGGTTTAGGGTTTAGGCCCCAGGGTTTAGGGTTTAGGGGCTTAGGGTTCAGGGTTTAGGGCTCATGGTTTAAAGTGTAAGGCATAGGGTTTAGGGTGCAGGGTTTAGGTTTTTAGGTTTTAGGGTTTAGGGTCTCTGCCTACTCTGCAGTTGGCCATAAACTGTGTCATCTTACGCGTTCAGTATCCTAGAAGACCTAAAGGTTAACCTTTGGGACTATATAGGGATTGTAAGACCCGCCAATATGGTTGAAGGCCACTTACTCTAGTAGTACTGCTAGACCCTAAACCCAAACCCAATATACCCTAAACCCTAAATCCTAAACCCTATCTACCCTAAACCCCAAATCCAAACCCGATCA